CCCCCCCCCCCCCCCCCTTTCCCCCCTCCTCCATTTGCTGCTGGATGTCAAACAGCTTTTAAAACCCCAGCTGCATTTAAAGCCGCAGCGGAGCTATGGGCGCGCTCGTAAACCCTAAACCCTAAACCCTAGACCCTAAACCCTTGCCGGCGGGGAGTTCACGCCCGGCTGCTAAACCCTAAACCCTAAACGTGGAAGCCAGGGCTGCGTCTACCTGAAGAGACCCTGCGACTTGACTTGACGCCCTTTTAGGGTTTAGGGACTAGGGTTTAGGGTTAGGGTTTAGAGTTAGGGTTTAGGGTTAGGGTTTGGAGTTAGGGTTTGTGGTGCTGCGCAGGGCGGGGGTTTCTAGAAGCGACATAGAAGCTGAGAGCAGCAGCTTGAGGCCCCCGGAGAGGGGTTTTGCTGCTGCTTGGCGGCTGCAGCAGGAAGCAGACCCGAGCAGCAGCAGCACGAGCCTGGCAGCAGCAGCAGCAGATGTCAAAGCAGCAGCAGCAGCAGCAGCACCCCGCATCTCCTTCGTGTCTTGCTACATAACACCTTCCCCCATAATAGGGCTAATGGTGCTGCAGGTCCCCCGCTGCTGCTTCCTAGACCCTCCCCCCTCCCAGCAGCAGCAGCAGCAGCAGCAGCAGCGGGAAGCAGCAGCAGCAGCACTTTGCATGGTCCTTGAAGACGGGAGGCTTCAGGTGGTTTCTTTTCAAGGGTTTAATTTGCTGTTCGACTTCAAACCCGAGGGAAAGGCAGTTCTGCAGGCAGCCACAGACAAGCGCGCCCAGTGAGGGTTTAGGGTTTAGGGTTTAGGGTTTGGGAGGCTCGCTCCCACTGGGACACAGTGCTACCTACTTGCCTAGGGTTAAGAGTTTAGGGTTTAGGGTTTAGGGTTTAGTTGGCTCCTCCAAGTAGGGCTGCAGGCGCTTTGACTCAGCTGGGAGACCTTTATGGCTTAGGGGCCCCAGGGGGCCCCCAGGGGCCCCCCAGGGGCCCCCCAGGGGCCCTCCAGGGGCCCCCCAGGGGCCCCTGGAGGGGGTCCCCAGGGG